CCCCAAAACCCCAAAACCCCAAAACCCCAAAACCCCAAAACCCCAAGAGACTTTTAAATATTTTAAATTTTCAAATTTAAACAGGTATGCCGTTCATTACAATTTTCGGCCATTTTTGGATTCATTAAGTTAAATTTTGGTCCCGCTTTTGTGGCTTAAGATTTCTACATAGTTTTGGATATTTTTCACATCTAGATTGCTTATGGAACTTATTTATAGATCCCATGTATTCTGGTGGAATCACTAAGACAAGTTCAACAGTAGAATTTCCTAAACGATCGTACTCATCATGCAGCTCAGTTAAAAAGTACAAAAATAAAAGCCAATCATTGATAAAATACTCAAGTTTGCACTATCATCGACCAAGGAAGCAGAAATAAGGGAAAGAGCTGTAATAAATCACCGAACAATGGCGGCTCTAATTGTTCCATCAGTAACTGAAGTTATAGCAATACACCAGGAATTAGACTCCGTGATAGTGCCAAGTGTGGCTCTGTATTCCTTCGGTAAGAGTTATCACCAACTTTTTTAGAAATCTTCCGCCGATCAAAGACAATATTCGTAAATTTAACACAAATGACATCTATTCTCGATGGGTTAAACTATTCATGCGCTTCTGAGGTCACAACAAACTCGAAATATCGCTAAATAAATAAGAGCCTGCCATTCCTGAAGATTAATATGACAAATACGAAGATAAACCTTCTTCCTGTGAGGCAAGATCAGTCCAAGATGAACTATTTCACTATAAAAATATACAATGTAGAGAATACGGCTAATCTCACCAATACAGAGCCCTCTGGCTCTGAGGATTTGAGTATCCATATAGGATGCAAGATGAAAGAGCAGGTCCTTTCCTGGTATCAGTACTTTATGGCGATCCAGACACGTCGGAAGCCACATGTACTAAATCAGACTTCCAACCCTCAGAATTTATATAATAGCTATGTTAATAATGATTTCATAAATGTAAGCCCATTTGGTGACTCTCCAGATTTCTACAAATAGCACCAACCAGATGAGGACACGAGGAGGGAATCCTAACAGAGAATCCTCTCTTTCTGAAATGTCTTGCTACAGCAAGCAGTCCAGACATAAACATGCTTCCAGTTCCAAGAAGTTCTGCAATAGCATAATACAAGAGAATAAGAAGGATGGTAAGCTTAACTTGAATTTCTGCCCATCAAGCAGCTAGGATTTGCTAATAGTTAAGCGACTCTAAATTATTATCTTTCTCAACCAATTTCTCGATAATTTTGAGGTTATATTCCTCGCATGACACCTTAAAATTTAATGATTTAATCCACTCAAAGATTAAGCTTAATCTGTAGTAAATTTAGTGAACTTGCAGCATCCCTTCTACCAGACAATGTAAGACTTCGCACTCAAACTGTAGCTTCAAGAAGAGAGAAGTAGTGATCAATCTCGGAGAGCTCAAGAAGAAAATTGAGTCAAGAAAGTCTCTCAAAAAGCGCAAAAAATCCAAAAATCCGAACCAGAAAGGACAGAGTAAATCCTTTATCTATGATCCTCCCTCACGAAAGAGCCTTTCAAGGCCAAAATCTCGCATCCGGATTTCTCAGGACAAGGAGAAATTCCTGACCAAAAATACGTCGCAATTTACCCATACAGATGTGAACCTAGAATGAGTCATTTCTCGGATGAGCCAAAATTTGAACAAGACTGAAATCCAGGTAGGAATTTTGGGCTACTTTTATAGAACCAGTCGGAAAACCTGTCTTTCAAACAGTTCTGACAGAGCAAACCTCAATATTTTAAGAACCTTAAATACCTCATCCAGGCTGAGGAGGGTAACAAGGCGGATTATAGCCAAGAAATTAAGCACACAATGGAAACTGATCCTAAAGACTCTCGAGCACAGATCGAACTGGAGAATTTCAGCCCAGGGAACTTTGGAGGAGGTAATACCCCCTTCTGTGACATTACCAATATGGATAATAAGTATCCCCCGATCCCAATGACTCGGCAAGCTCAGGATCCTGTAGCTCCGCAAGTAGTGGAGTCACCTGCAGTAGATAGCTTCAAGAGTGATCTCCAGAAGAATTCTTCAGGTAGGCCTTTGCTCACTCACTCTATAGCTCCAAATTCAAAATCAGATTCTCCCAGTTTGTCTTTTAAAAGCTGTAAGATGTCTGGCTCAGATAGGGAATCTCAGGATGAGACCCTTGCTGCCAAAGAGAATTCTGAAACCAATATTTATGATAAACTTACCACAGAGATCCTCAATAATCCCGGAATGTCCAAAAACTCACCCTCTGGTGCAGAAGATATCAAGGATTTTGACAGAACATTGGCGGAGTTCACCACTATGAGGGACTGAGAAAAGCCTGAAGGCAACGATCTTGACTACAGGAGAAAAGATAACTGACATATCTTCTAGCTTTCAGTAAAGATGCTCAGCTTTAGCATAAGAATAGCTAAAATTATCAGTTTTGGCTCATAAATACCCTTCAATATGATATATAGTACTTGGGGTTTTGGGGTTTTGGGGTTTTGGGGAGAT